TCTGCGGCACTCTCCGGCACTCGCCGGCAACTCCCCGGCACTCTCCAGCAACTCTCCGGCACTCTCCGACACTCTCCGACACTCTGCGGCACTCTGCGGCACTCTGCGGCACTCTACGGCCCTCTTCGGCACTCTGCGGCACTCTCCGGCACTCTCCGGCACTCGCCGGCAACTCCCCGGCACTCTCCAGCAACTCTCCGACACTTTCCGGCACTCTCTAGCACTCTCCGGCACTCTACTGCACCTAACAACATGCAACAGCATTGTACGGCCTTCGATAAGGCTCGAAAACACTTGAAAAACGCTTGATAACGATCGAAAGCACTCTAAAAACACTTGAAAACGGTTGAAAAACACTCGATAACTCTCGAAAACGCTCGGTAACTCTCCAAAACACTAAAAACGCTCGAAAACACTCGAAAACGGTTGAAAGTCGCTCAGTAACGCTCAAAAACGGTCTTAAAACGCTCGAAAACGCTCGAAACCGCTCTGAAAATGATCGAGAAACGCTCGAAAACGTTCAAAACGGTCGAAACCGCTCTGAAAATATTCGAGAAACGCTTGAAAACGCTCGAAAACATTCGAAGACGTTCAAAAACGCTCTAGAAACGCCTTAAAACGCTCGATAACGCTAGTAGGGAAATGTAAAAATCATGCGCGAAATGACTCGGCTTATATCTGCAGTTAGGTAAGCCTCTGGAGGATTTTTCGCAGTTTTCGAGTCTCACGCATACTTGTCGAGTGTAGCGCCGAATGCACACATACTCAACGTCTCGATCCGTAGCTTGGCGTTTGGCTGGTTGGGACGCACGAAGATTTCTAGGAGCTATCGCACTCACACAGATTCGCTGCACGAGAGTTCCGTACGCAACACCGACGCGTGCCTAGAGTTCGAAAATTCTCGGTGACATTAAATTGGAGAAGGTAACTGTGAAACATACCGTAAGTTACCGGGAACATTGAGAATTTAAGAGAACGTTAATTTTGTTATTTATACTTTAGGTTTCTTCGTTTAAATAACTTTTTTTTTCAATCAACTTCAAATTTCAAGCTATAGAGTAATAATTACTATTAGAAAATATTGATTATACGGTCGTATTTACCTCCAACTAAAAATATTCACGTATCTACAACTTCACGGAAAATTCCATGCGATTTGTTTCAGTTGAACTAATATTTCATTCTGCGACGAAACGAATGGAAGGTTTTGATTGGCTACGGAGAACGTACAACGGAAATTCCTCTCTACAATGTTTCTCTATAGATAATCGAAACCTCTCGTTCGATCTGTTGAAAAATTCAAATTCTCATAATTTCTCGATAAAAAAGGCTTTGGAGAAGTTATCGATAAGTTACCGGGAATTTCTCTTCGTTTCTGACGTAACTTACTGGATTTAGAACTCTACGCGTGCCCTAAAGCTCCGCATCACGTCGACTTCGAGGCAACAATGTACTTAATAGTAGTAGATAAGTAGATAAAGTCAAATGGAGCGTCACGAGTGTTCTTCCCTTACCATCAAAAGCGAGCAGTATCGGTAAGCGTAGGTAAGCCACCACCATCAACTGCCGCATGGTATTACCATCACGAGTATGTACGTGAGCCGCCAATGGCGACTGGTAGACGGTACCACCATCGCAAGTGCGCGAGCTCCTATCCGAAATTCGTTGCGTCGCCCTTGGGGGCAAAAAACGTATGAAACCAGAGGGCAGCATAGGATGAGATCGCACGATCCTGCCCGTAAGCAATCTCCCAACTCATCTCTGTCGCACGACCCTGCCCGTAAGCAATCTCCCAACTCATCTCTGTTCTGGGCTTAAGAATTTTTATTGGCTGCAGTGAACGTACATACAGTAGAAGTTCCACTATTCCATTTTTCTCTGCAACCAATCAGAATTTGTTATTCGCGCATTATCACTCCGTTATTCGTCGTTGTAGAGTTAATAAAAAATATCGGCCTTATATCCACGATGCTATGTCGTCACGAAGTCTTAGCCAATCAATGCTGCTTTTTAGATTTAAATTTCGGATGATAAGTCGAGAGACCGGTACGGTGTGTGACTTGTTTACTGTAGAGTCTTTAAAAACAAGACAAATGTCCCGTATTAAATGATTTCTTAAAAAATATATTTGTAAAGCATTTTGAATTAGCTGAATAATTTTCTTAATACAATCATTAGTAATGTCTGTGAATTTTAGTTCCTGTTGGAGCTAGAATTTGACAAGTACTGGACAATGCTCATAGATGAACAAAGGTAAAATAGAAACATTTCCCATCGTATACCCCTGAAATGTATTATTTTCATCGTTTTACTGTGATTTGAGTTGCACCATTGCAGTTTTTAATTGCTAATTTGTTTTATTATCAGATTTATTTTAGATTACATAAATGTTCATAAATGAACATAAATGGAATGTTGATAAGTTCTATTTCAAACAAATTACTGAAAAAATTCAGAAATGGAGACAGATCATGTGCTTCAAGACAGAAATAGCCTTAATGGTAGTTTTGGACTTAATAGTACTGGTCCAAGACCTAAGTTCGAGCCTATGCGTGTGAAGGCTCTTCGTGAACTTTGGGAAAGCGATGACGAGGATAGTGAAGATAAAGAAAGTGTTTCTAACAGTGAATCTGAGGGCGATGATGTCCAACCTTCATCTATAAATAATTTTGTTGGTGCTACGGTTGACAAATTGCCTGAATATGAAGAAGATGCAAGATGTCAAAAAAATAATTTATGTTTACAAGAAGGTATCATGCAGTTGGATTTAAATTCTTATGTTAAAAGTGAATTAGAAAATTCTCCGCAAGATATAGAACCAAAACATTCTTTTCTTAAAAGTACATCATGTAATGAGTTATATGTAAAATCCACATCAACAAAATCTAAAGCATTCCAAGACCATTTACAAGAATCTAAAGTAGATTTGAAATTAGAATCAGAAAATTCTTCACATGAAAGCATAGTTAATGATGGAATCCATGGTCAATCTAAATCTCTTACTTGTACTATATTTCCACAACGAAAAGTAAGTGGTAGTGCATCTTCTTCCGTAAATAGTGCAAATGTATGTTCATCACTTTTCTACAATAAAAAAGAGAACTTGAAGACTGATGCAGAATTGCCATTAGCTTCAACTGATTGTGTGCAATCTAGTGTTTATAAAAGCTCCTTTGACAAACATAATAATCATCAAACATCTCATGAGAAACATATATTTCAATCTGTATCCAATTCAAATTTAGAAAATGATACAGAAAAACACTCAAAACATCAAAGTGAATTCTGTACTATATCGAAATATGAAACACCTGGCTCTAAAATATCTCGCTCAATTGGGTATAATCGAAACTATATCGAAACAGGAAATTCTACAAATAAACAGTCATACGCTGTTACTGAAACACCAGTAAAACATCCTTCATCAAATGTTAATCATCCAGTACCTTGTTCTTCTCATCGTAACATATTTCAAACACCTCAAGCCAAATCCAATACTGACATCTCTAAAAACCATGTACAAACTCCAGCTACAATATTTTCCCATTGGTCTCAAAAAAGTATGCTACAGACTCCAATACAAAATACTGTTTTAAAAAAGAGAGAAGCAGTTCCAGTTACTGAACAGTCTATCTCTTCCACCCAAAGTACAAAATTAAAATTACCCAGGTATGTAAATTAAAACTAGGTGCTTGCGTCTTTGAATATATTTAAACTACTTTAATTTTTATGACATTATCTTTCCAGGTATGTTACCTCAAGTGAAAAACGTAGTAGACAACCTTTAGCAGAAACTATTCAATCAACCCTAAATTCAACTAAAGACAAAGTTCCATCTACTTTTGACTCTGGAATAGTTGCACCACATAATATTCAAATACCAAAACCTCAAAGGCCTACAGATTCACAAGGTGTTTCTTTAGTAAAAGAATCATCATATACAGGGAGTCTCGGTCAAAAGGTTACTGATGTAATGGAACAACAACCAATCCAAGCTGTGATTAATAATAATAAGGAACAAAAAGAAAATAAACAACCAAAAATTCAACAAAATATTCTGGAACATGCAAATATAATTCCTGATCGATTATTGGATTTACGAAGTTCAAATGCAATGGAAAAGGAATTGAAACATTGCAATAAGAACTATAATACTAATATATCTTCTGAATATGAAGGATTTAAGAACGATAATTCTCCTTTAAATAATCCAAACTATATAAAAAATCCATCCAAAGTAGAAAATGTTGAAGCTAATACATCTGTGGTACAGTATTCATTACCATCTACAGTACATACACCAATGCAAGACAAGACAATATCGGTTAAAGGTATCGATTACTTAATTTTGGGCACACTCGGACGTGGAATGAGTGGTGAAGTACTACGAGTGCAAGATTTATCTTGTGGTGAATTACGAGCCATTAAATGTGTCAATCTAAATTGCATGGAGAAAGAGGCCGCACAAGGTTGTTTAGAAGAAATAAATATGTTACATAAATTACAAGCACCTTGTGTTGTTAAGATGTTCAATTAGTAAGTATTAACTGAAAATTAATATAATGTATACTATATATATATATATAACACTACGAGTTTCTCGCTCAAATGTGTTTGGCTCGAAACTCTACCGAGTTTCTTGATCTAACATTCATACTTAAGTTTTATCCATTTAGTGAAGTGAAATCACCGTTAGTACATGTTGTCATGGAAATGGGTGATACAGATCTCAGTAAACTTCTTAAATCGATTAGACAAGAGAAGCAACTCCCACTTACGATGATACTTTATTATTGGACAGAGATGTTAACGGCTGTCAAACATATACATGATAATGGTAAGTTGTTTAAAGACACAAAGATAGAAGTGTTGAATATTTAATTTAGAATTACTTCTTCCTAGGTGTAATCCATTCAGATCTAAAACCAGCTAATTTCCTTTTGGTTCGTGGGCGGTTGAAATTAATAGACTTTGGTATTGCTTCAAGCATAAATTCTGACATGACGTCAGTAGTGAAACATAATACGATTGGTACATTAAATTATATCAGTCCTGAAGCACTCATGGACATAGGTGGCAGTGGAGACTCCCCAACTCATAATGTAAAATACAAGGTAAATACATTTTTTGTATTGGTTTTTCATCACATTTTTATTTATTTTTATCCGAGGTCCTCGCATCCTCACAAATTAAATCCAAATATACATTTCACAGATAACTTTCAAGTCCGATGTATGGTCTCTAGGCTGTATATTGTACAGTTTGGTCTATGGATGTACACCGTTTTTTAACATTCGCTCACATTGGGCCAAAGTCAATGCAATAACAAACCCTAAGCAGAAAATACAATTTCCTTCGACATCAACAACAAATGGAGAAAATACGGAACCTTTACCTTACATTTTGATTGATGTAATGCGTAAGTGTCTTCAACATGATCCAAAAGCTAGACCAACTGTCACTCAGCTATTACAAGTCTCATATGTATCGGGTATATCCAAACGGATATCAGCTACTCCAGAAATTCCATCAAACATTCTTATTAAAATAAAACATGCATTGTCTAATGAAGAATGGCGAGAATTAACACAGGTCAGTAAAAAAATATTTTTCTTTTCCATCACTATTTCTACAAAAATGTTGTCTTTGCAGATACTAGAAAAAGGACGGCATACTGAATGATTTTATATCTTTTTCGTGGCCAACTTGTACATAGGTTGTACATTTAACTAAAGGAAATGTGATTATAGTAACGAGTGTGTATAAAAATCTTATCTGCGATAATTATAACATAGTAATTAAGGTGATCGGATACTGTAATGGCTTAAAAAAGATATTTTTTGAGGTACTATATGAAGGGAAACTAAATTTTTTATATGCATCCATCTGTCATATAAAAATACATGGTTACAGAAATATTCCGTCTAAAAATCTTTAATAAAAGCAGACATGAAGGTAATAGTGCATCTTTTATTTAAGAGATTATCGGCAAGTAAGGCTTTTAAGTCTGAGTTTATGTGAAATTGAAACATTAAACACTTTAAAAAAATATATGGGTATATGATTAAAAATATATAAATCATGTAACCATACGAAATTTGAATTAAATTAATAAGTTTTTAATAACAAATGTAAATGTAAAACATTAAAAACTGAAAATAAACGAATTATTTTTGTTTAAATTTCAAAGGATTTTCAATTAACCGAAAAATCTGTAACTTTCATGCATCAGTACATACACAAATACTCTCAAAATTCCTAATGAATTGAATAGGTATAAATTGTATCCGCCATTTGAAGGAATGTACTTTTAAGAAAAGCAGTGTGTAAATATTTTAAGTGCGATTTTTGCTAAATTAAGCACGTAATATTTTAATTTACATTTCTTCATTTATAACTTGTGACTCAATATTAAGTCTATGATATTCTTTATCGTCGTTATATCATTTTGATTGTTCGGGTTGCAATAATAAATTCGATTGATTTCAAGCATTCAAGTGTTCAGGTATTTTTCAGAAGAAATACAACAAAGTAGCGTTTTCATATCCTTAAATAGTGACATGAAATTTTATAAGTCATTACTAATTTTAATCTTAATTATATTTCCTCAACTTGAAAGAAGTGTAAAAAAACATTGTTTTTGTACTTGTACAGTGGCAGTCTCTGATCATCCTAAAACGCTAAAACATAAATTAAGGAATATATGTATATGAGTACAAGATAGTCTCTACTGCCCTTCCATTAAAATATTTGATATTGAAGTTAATCTATTCAGGCAAATGCAATGTTGATGCATTTGTAGGAAAAAGGAATGATGAGATAAGAAAAGAATTCTGAAGCAGGAATCTATTGATTTTGTTATTAAATTAAATTTTTATTTTATTATCTCACATTTATGCGTATAAATGATTTGATATGACAAACTTCGTGTAGAGTAACAGCTATGAGCCAATAACTTGTTCTTTCACATTGTAACTAATTTAGTATTATTTTTCAATTGGTATATTGCGCTCGTATTATTCTACAGTATTTAATGTGAAATAAAACATTTCAAACAAGAAATTTGCCAATGTAAATTTATCACCAAGAAAATATTCTTGTTCAGTACTTGCAAGAAGAGGTTTCATTCTTCATGAGGTTCTTAAGTCGTTTATTCACTCATACTTAATTACTTTTCGTCACGCGTCTTTAAAGTGGTAGCATATTACACTGATCCCATAACGTGTTTCATCAGGTGAGTGCAGCATACAATTCCAAAAATCTTACTGTTATTAGAAATCATTGCATAAAATCCCAATACTTCAACAATCGCTCTCCTTTGGGTAAAGTCATCGAGGTTGATCTTTCAAAGTTTATCATAATATCTTCAACTTTTTTATTTATTTCACGTTCAAACAGTTGACCACTTGGGCACTTTAAAGCAGATGCTAAGTTGTGCTCTACCGATGGCAATGGTCCTTCAATAAATTGCGCTGCAGTTACAACACAAGGTAAGCAATGTTGCTGAAGAGATTTAATCTCCCAAAGGCTGCTTTGAAGGGCATTACTAAGAAGTGGATCGCGTTCCTCCATAAGAAACGGATCTCCACTACTATCACCACCTTCTGGACAGTCAATTAGACATTTTAATCCTGGATGTCTTAGTAAAAGATTTCCAATGAAGAGTAAAATAACTAATATATCTTCCACAGGTGCTACAAGTGCTAAACGTGCAAGTCTTTTTGCAAAAGCTGCCACTAAAGCTTCAGGTAAATGTCTGTAGAGTTAAAATATTTTTATTATTTTAACGATATCAATGTAACACAGATTTACTGATATAACTGTACTTACGTTGAACTTAAAAATAGGTCTGATAAATAAAATAAACGAGCTTTATATTTGGTGTGAAAGATTTCTGGTTCAAACATAGAATAAAGCTTCATAAAAATGTTAGGGTACTCCAAATTATACTTTGTCACCAGAATAAATACACCATGAAGGGCAAGAATACCAATAGGCCCATTGGTATCCAAGGAATCCATAAGAAAATCTGTCATTAATAATGGCTTCTCTAAATGAGGCATAACATCTTCTAGTAAAACTATTAAAAGTTTTTTATGCAACTGTGGAGTCAATTCCCAATGCATAATACAAGCCCAAACTTTATTGAGAGCTCGTTTGGCACTTTGCTGATCCCATACAAAACCACCACATGCTAATAAAAACATAAATGAAATGTAGTCACAAAAAATGTATTACTTTATATTTTTGGCTCACCTTGCTGAGGGCCACAAAATAATTCACAAGTTTCAGAACTTTCACTTCCTGAAACGTAAGTTATTTGAAAATTGATCTAATAATTACAGAATCAAAATTGAAACAAAGAAACTGTTAAACCTTCTCCATCTTTTGGCAGAGGTAATCTATGTATAAGATGTAATAAATTCCTTATATAAACTTCTTGTGGTTGTCGCTTTGGAGTTAATGAAGGAAGACACTTCCAAGTATAGTACAAAGCATCCGAGTAGCTAGATACTTCTTGAAATCTGGCTATTAAGTCCATGTTATCCTTTTCAGGGGAGAGCAGCCTCATCAAAACGGGTTTCAATCGATGTAAAGGAAAATAATACTCTAGATTTCCAGTTGGCTCCAAAGGCGCTTTGCCTTCTTCGGCTATTAATTTTAAGGCAGTAGCTAGAGCTTGGGACTGAACCACTGGATAACTGCTCTCAATCGATAGCAAAACTTTATCCCAAACTTCTTTATAGCAATTTTGCAGCCAGTTGATATAACGCGACTCGGGATGTGGATCTGTTTGAATAATTTACATCATACCGAATTTATATTCTGGTTCACAATAAATCATTATTAATCAGCTGCAGATGGCATGTAATAAGACATTTCGACTTTAACTAAAAAATATTTTCTTTTAGATATTTGTACTGACCTGAAATGGTGAGTGTTATCGTTTGTTCTTGATACATGTCACCCCGTCTAAGTATTTCGACGAATATCTTCTCCAAATTAAGAATACACGACGTGGGGGCTTCCTAAAGAGACAGGAAAGACGGTCGTTATTCTAACCTCAATTTCTCCTCGAATCATTGTACTTCGTTTTCCGTGAATCTCACTTACATCCCAGTAATTAATTATGTCAATTAAATTATTGGCATGCTTTCTTGAGGCAAGGAATTCCCGAGTCTTTTGACGCAAAAGTTTTGAAGTAGCTTTTTCAGCAGAACAGCCGCCGGGGATTACTGCGGCCGCCATTACTGATTCGCAAATGACCGTCGTGGAGGTAGTAGTGCGTCCGTTGATTGGCTCGCTAGTAATGACAGTTGTGAATAAGACCAATCAGAAGTTACAACTTCACAGAAGGATTGCAATCAATTGCATGCTTGACGCGCTGTCGTGAAGGATCGTATGTATTCACGTTATTTCTTACCACTTACTAAAATTCGGTATCCTTCCATTGGTTGCCGTATCTCTTCTGCGGGAAAATCAATAAGACATCATCTATGTACGTCACCTCTTAATCCCGATGCTACAAATTTCTACGCGTTAGCTACACGAATAACTTAAATAATGCATGCTAAAGGAAACTTCATTGCCATGTGTGAATCAGCACGAACATTTGTCTGGTATGTATGTACATTTCAAATGAATTTTCAATATTAAATTATGTACTGCATTATTCACAGAATGAATTACACAAAAACTTTTTTTAGGTTTTAATCAATGTTGGAATAACATTAATGCTGATTTGGTAAGTTATATGGTAAAGAAATGAATGGTCTTGTAACTGAGTAAAGTGAAAGACTGCCATCCCTTTAGAAACTTTTGTAAATAATTGTCCATATGAAGACTGTTCTTATACAAATATGATTCTTCATTGAAATCCAAAGAATGATGTAAATAATTGTTTACCTTAATAACGGTTTCATTTTGTTTTGGAACTTCACGAAGCTTAATGCACTTAAATGAAGTAAGTCCTCATAAAATAATACCATACATATTTTTATTTTATTATGCATGATGAATTTTATAATTGACTCTTATTAAACAAGTATCACTATTCCATTTATGTAAATTCTTTAATAATTATATCAACGTACATATGTCACTTGATTTTTAAATGCATTATTATTATATTTAAGTAGAAAACTTACCAAGTATATACAATTTGAATTTACTTATAGGACAATAAAAATATGGCATATGAAATTGCTAATAAAATGATAAGAGAAGATTTTGATGCTGGACCTACAAGTTGTGACGAGATTGTACAAGGTCTCTTTCTGGGAAATCTGACAGCTGCCACAGATGTTGAATGGCTTAAAGAAACTAAAATAACCCACATACTCACGGTAGATTCTTGTCCATTGCCAAGGAAGATTCAGGTCCTGCCAGATCTGATTTTAAAATATATCCAAGTAACGGATATGCCACGTGAGGACTTGCTGACATACTTTGACGATTCCTACCAATTTATTCAAAATGCTTTGGAGTCAGGAGGCAGAATTTTGGTACATTGTTATTTTGGAGTATCCAGATCGGCTACTATAGTTATAGCATATATAATGAAAAAACAGGGTATCAGTTATTATAGTGCATTTGAAACTGTGAAGACTAAGAGATGCTTCGTTGGTCCCAATCCAGGGTTTGAAGCACAACTTAAACTGTACAGGGAAATGAACTTCAGCATAGATAATGCAAATGTCCATTTCAAAATGTACAGACTACAAATTGCAGCAGATAAAGTAAGAAAGGCCCGAATACTTCCTCAATGCTGTTCCGATATAGTCAAGCCAGATCCTGCATTAACCACGGTGCGCCCAGAACCGACAGTGTATCGATGTAAAAAATGTCGTCGTATAGTTGCGTGTGCTAGTAATATTTTACCACATGCGCCACGAGAGAAACAAATCTGGCGACATATTAGCTCTAAGAGTTACGATAAAGTTTTGGGGTCACCGAACAATCCTGACTTAAAAGATGATACGGTAGAGAGTACCGAAGAGAAAATCACTGAACGGTGTACCAAAACTTATTTTATAGAACCGCTTGCGTGGATGCCAGATATAATGCACGCGGTTGATGGGAAATTAAATTGCCCAAAATGCAACACAAAATTGGGGTCTTTTAGTTGGATAGCTGGTTCTCAATGCCCTTGTGGTAGTAAGATGGCTCCAGCATTTTATTTGGTGCCTTCTAAAGTAGATTGGAGTAATGCTGTACAAAACGTGCAAGTAACTGTGTGATACACTTGAAAGCAGCAAAGACTCAACCAATCTGATTTGAAAAATAACTGGACGGCATAAAGATACAAAATGGTACAAAAGAGCGACAACAATGAGATCGCACAAGTATTCATGTTACAATTGTGCCTATGTGCATGACGCTTATAACCAGTACATTTGTGATCACACATTAATTATGTGCCAATGTATTACAATAACTATAATTTTTAACGTTTCTTACTTGGTAAGCAGTAGTTAAGCCCTTTTTTTTCAATTTAATGTTTATACTGTGTACGTTTATTGACTACATATATAATGTATAGTACAATTTTTTGTAGTTTCTAGTCTTTCGTCGAGTATTCTCTTTAAATTATAATTACTACACAACACATCAGTGTTTATTGTTATTTTTTAATTCATGTCAGTTTTCAGCGAGTTCCTACATATTCATTACCCTGTTTTAGGTCCTTACATCTAAGCACTCCATGCGCCCTCCAATACCAGTCACGACATACATTGTATTACAGAATTAAGTAAAACAGTACATTATGCACAGTAATGCATAGCAGTAGTGATATTTCCTGTTTTAAAAGGAATTACTTTTACTTTGATTGCCTAGGCCTGACAAGGGTATTACTTTTAAAGACTCTTCTATTGCTAAATAGTACTATATCGTACCATTAATTTTAAAATTTCAAGCATCGTGCGATTATTTCCGTCTCTTTGGTATTTGTTCAATACATGTAATACATAATCGTATGTAAAAATCTTGGTTCTTTTGTCAGATTCGCGAAGAACAAGTTTCATCGGCATCTGTCCCACTGGGTCACATACTCGCGTGCATTGCAGAATACGCACTTCCATAAGGATGCGTTCTAAGTCTAAGCGAGTTAAGACTATTCATCGAAGATCCATCGAGACCAGAATGACCAGTTTCCTGCTGATGATACGAGGCGATTCCCATATTTCCTAAATTGCCATTAACGAATCCGTGACAACTTGCAGTTGTTTGCACTGCGCTATAATGTTGCGGAGATCGCCAGTAATCACTATAGGTGTACTGCGGCACTTGAGGTGTCGATAAAGCTTGATTGTGCTCGTGAGGATGAGCTACCCTGATAGGTCTTAATGGTAACGCAGCCTCCATTTCTCTGCTAGCTGAAACACCACGGCTCATAGCGGAACTTCTCTCGTTTCTGCGGAACTTGGCTCTTCTATTTTGAAACCATACCTGTTGAAATATACGTATTAGGACAAGAAAACACGTATAATTAAATCTAAACATTCTATCCATCATTGAACTTTGTATTTAATATTTTTTTCTCATTGCCTTTGACATTTACTTTGTATCAAAGAGAGTATTTATTTGACTCCAGATGATTATTTGGCGGTTCAATTCAATTACTAATCAATGTGGCCATCTCTTCTGCAATCTTAGACCCATAATCATACGTCATTTTTATGAGAACCTCAATCATCTTTTAGATAAAAATAAGATTACTGTTAAGAGATGCCATTGTTAAAATACTTAATTCACCACATAATTTTAATCACATGACATCTAAAAGCGATATAAAAGAGCCGCCAGCTATTTTTATTCCATATGCGTTCTTCATTTATCAAAAAAGCGCTCTAAGAGAGGCTTAAAAAAATACTGAATAGGTATCGTTATTCAAATATATTTTTGATTTCACCTTTTAAGGATTTCTTTACAAGAAGAGATTTACAAAGAAGAGAGAAAGAAAAAGAGTTTGTACCTTAAAAGCAAGGTAAAATAGTCTTCATTATCTGTTATCCTTTTTCGTTTATAAACATATTTTAATCATTAAAATGATTAAAAATGATCAAAAAAGGTATGAGTAAAGGATGTAATATTTAATCTGAGATGTTTAGACTATTATTTTACGCAAAGATAACTCAAAACCTGAGTACTAGCAAGTTTAGGGTCCTCCGAAAATTCTATGTTACTTTTCTCGGGGTAGTTCTTCTTGAAGACATGAAAAACGCTTAAGAGTCACCACACACCAGACAGTCCGTGATAAATATTTTTATTGGTCAAAACGTTCCTTATAGATTTTTATGTGACAACTCGCAAATCATGTAAAAAGATGGGCCGACAAAAGAAATTAGAAATATTTCGTTTTTCCCCCGATTCAATATAAGTCCAATGGTTGGTCTCGCAATAAGATGTCCGATAGACCATTGATCATGCGTGTAGTCATTGTTAGAAAAACTGCACTAAATCTTGGAAATTTCAAATTGAGCACTACCTTACTTTATTTTTTAATCGCCCTCTAGCCCTTTGATATTAATTTCCTGCTTGAATTAAATGTAGGAAAAAAAAAACGAAGTCGCAAACAAAATGAAACTCGTTTCATAAATAACTCATCAGTCCCCAAAAGTGTCGGATGTAGAACGCCTCAAAATGAAAACAAAAACGACTGTTATCTCCAGGAAACTGGGGTCATAATTACGGGAGAAGGCGACCGTTCCGCGACCGCACCCTACCTGGTTCATTTTTGGGGTATTTCGATAAAACCTAATTCCGGGGATTCTTGAACGGCAGATCGATCGAAAGTAACTAGCGAGAACTTAGGTGCGCCCGGATACGCCGCTCGGACGATCGGGACGATTCGGGGCGACTCGGGACGAGCCAGAGCGCCGGCCGGAGACGGGACAGCGTGACGACTCCTGGCAGGCGTACAGACCGCCGTCGGACAGGCCAACGGACGGATGGACGGGTGCGAGCACACGTGCGAGTCCGCGGCGGACGCACCGCAACATGCCCGGCCGTGCCAACCGCATATGCTGGAGACGCGTTCCCGGCAGGGCTAGGCTAATCATAGCTCCTTGCCTGACAACCTGTCTCTTCCGATTTTCTGCCTGCCCGTCGCCGGTAGCCGAATCTCCGCTCGCGTCGACGCGCCCTGCGAGCGCTCGTCAGAGACACGTGTGCGAGCAACGCGTTACTTTCAGACGACGGTACTCTGGCCTCTTCTCGCTAAACCATTAGGACAACTGGATATGCGGTCTTTGCGACCCGGGACCTCCTCGAATTGTCCGTGGTACCTACGACAGTGCTCGGTTTGCGCGTGATCCCGAACCATCCCTTTTCGATGACTCGTTGAAGGAAATCGCCTTGAATTGGTCGACAATATAAATTGTGTAGCGAAATCGTTATTACGATTGAGTTAAGTTTGTAGAGCTCATTGGAACACGTGAATGGCGGAGGAATACTCGGAGGTGATTAGATCGAAAAGTATCCTCTATATCAAGGCGGTCCAGAAATTCTTCACATGCATGCGTACCTTGCGGAAAAAAGTTGGTTGACACAAGGAATATCCGTTGCGGCAACAAAATTCTCTGATCGAATACGTCGAAAGAAATATAAGATTATGTAAACAAAATTCGTTTAAACCAACGATATATATCTTTCTTCTGAAAGAAATAATTGTTTCAGGGTTGCTTTAGTGCAATCCATTCCGCGGGTATTATCGAATAATTAGTATTTACCTGTAGGTATTAAACTCACTTCCTCACATAAAACATGGCATATTTCAAGTTTAAGTTTTATGTAATGTCAGAAAAAAAGTGATTATAATCAATAAATAAGTAATTGAATAAAATTACCTTAACAGGCAAAAAGATCATCTTTCAAATGAACGTCTACTCCTGGCAACGTCGAGATTCGATGTTTAATTTTTTAATTTCATTCCGAGAGTACATCTAATACGTGTAAAAAGTTTAGGTATGAAGTTGAAAGATTACGAAACAATATAAAGATAAAGTTTGTCGCTAAGAATACCTACGTCTGAGACCAACTTTTTATCGCACCTTGGAGTCTAAGCTCCGTAAGACGATTTTCCCCGGAAAAGTCTCGTTAAGTTCGATTTGTGATTTCTGAACCAGGTGTCCGGAGTCGGTATTCTCTAAGTTTGTTGCGACGCTCCGAGGTTTACCATCCGCAAAGGCGTACCGCGACTAATTAGGGATTTCACGGATAATTGCGGGGATCTACGGTTTCAAAAGCGTATGCGGTGAATCTCGTACCTGCACCCGCGCCTCGGAAAGCGACACTCTCGTGGCCAATTCTTCTCGTACGAAAGCGTCCGGGTAATGAGTTCTTTCAAAGACTCTTTCCAAGGCGGCCAATTGTTGCGCCGAGAACGTAGTACGACTTCTCCTTGGCCTCCTGCTTCCGGGCACCGAGGAACTCTCGTTGCAATCTTTAATTACAGCACATTAAACGTAAATCACCATAAATAAACAATTGTAACAATACATTAAATAATGTAAACGTTAAAATTCAGTAAACTCCTATATAACGAGGTTAATAGGTTACGTGTTGCATCAAATCGCGTTCTAGGAAAACGTGTTATACGAGAGTTTTCCTCGTATATGCTCGAATAAAGTAACCGGGAATTCCCGCATTTCGTCATACACGTTATTCTTAAAATGGTGGACACGATTTGTACAGCTTTATTTTTATCGAAAATGGAGACGAACAGTCTTGTACTATTTTTCTTTTCTACGATGCATTGTTTACTTGTAATAATTACTTAAAAACTAGTTAACCAGGTGCGTCAATTAGCGAAACGCGAATCAATGAGCTTACCGTAAGTTGTCTTGCTCCTACGCCGTAGATAGCAGAAAACGAAAGATACGCGTTCGGTTAATCGACGCGCTGGGTTGGCTATTTTTCAATTATTTATTACAGCTAAACTATACGTTGTAGAACAAAAAAAAAATAGTTCAGTACATTTGAACCCTATTTTCAACAAGGATAGCATTGTATAAACCGTGTCCTCCAGTTTACCCTATATGGCGCGTTGTCCAAAAATTGCATCATGTAAAAGGTCGTTGCAATATCTTTAGTGCGTTGTAGGAATTTGCGTTATACGGGAGTTTACTATAAACGATGTGACTGAAATTAACAATACGAGGGTAAAGAGCAATAAAGACGATACGGAACACTGAACAATGTTCCTTTTGACAGTCCAATAGGAACTGTCACCATGTTTATAGTTGATTCAAATAGGCTGACCCGTTGAACTTTTCGTTACAATCGCCGCGCGAATGTTTCTGGAATGTGTGGACCCGTTTGAAGCGATTTATGGCACTGTAAACGGCGGTAAATGCATGTAGGGTTTCTACGGATCAATGTCACTTTATTGCTGACTTCTCCCACCGCGGGGACGCACCGTAGCGAGTACATTCGCAGATGCCGCTATGGATAAAATCCCTGGTAAAAAGGACAACGCGCAAGATCCCAACACCGTGTTAGTATCCTGAATAAGTTCTCTGTACTTGAGCGCTCATCAAGGCGGCATAATGCGAGCAGCATGACGCGAGCGAGTACTCGATTAAATCAAACGCCTCTTCTCCTCCCCATCCAGGAAGAGGCGAGGTATACCACGTTCCTCTCGTAAATCGTTTAACGCGATTGCTGTTTTATGTTCCTTCAATGGGGATTATGCTAAGGAGAACAAAACACGATGACATTCCCGAGAACGCCCTGATAATTGCTTCCGGACTAAACAAGTAAATTTCAGTACGTCGGAAGTATAATTAAAACGCTGCAATACTTGAGGCGTTTCAATTGAGATGTTAATTGAGAGCTTTGTATGTGAAGTTGTAATGGAGAATATATGTAATAACTGAACGTTTGAAAGCGTAAAGGCATAAGTTCGCAATCATGCCTCACTTTTAGTTCCAAAATACAACTTTCAGTCATTTAAAGACTTTGGACGAAGGATGACTTTTAGCGCTAAGAGTAAGGTATGAATATTGATCAGTTTTAATTACTAGTAAATTGTCACCGATTGGATTATCAATTTTAAACCCTTAAGTGCGGTGCATTTATAATTTACCGTCTATATCGGAATTTTATTGATAAAGTCTTTTAAAGATTAGAGAGCTATAGCGCGATTGCCCGAGTTTACGCTTAAGCGGAACTAATTCGGTGCACTTAGTTAATAAAATCCTTTTGCGTCAACAACCCTTCGCGACACACCCACTTTCGTATGAAAGCACAAATTTTCTCGTCGCGTTGAGCAATTAGAATTTAGCGTCTTACACGGTCTGATACTCACCTAAGGGGTGCGTCGTGGTGGACAATAATCGGGAGACCGTGAAGTCCTGGGGGATATGAGGTCCGGTGATCTGGGAGGTGATCCCGGGATTGCCGGGTCCGTGTTCGGCGATGGTATTTGAATTCGAATTCAGCATCGTTCTCTTCTTAAGTCGATCTCACCACGAATCACCGAATCGATTCTTTCCTTGAAAAATATGCTCACTCGATCGCACGATAAAAGGCCCGAATGATTGTTCTCTCTCACTTGTGTTCAACTCTGCATGCGATTGCGGCCACGTTCTCTCTTGATCGCATCGTTGTGCTCAAACCAAGCCAAAATACTACACGTGGGGCTTGGCTTCTGAATGCAGCTCAGCCAGTCTCGGATGAGCCGGTAAATATGGCCACTTACTTGACCAACAATTGCGATCGTTATCGTTTATTTGTATTGTTGCACACATTAAGGAGTTGACCTTCCACCGATTTAATCGCCGATGTCAAGGGACGCAACAGATTTGGCGCTGAACTTGGCGTTCAAAATGGAAGTTGTCGTATGTTTTTCGGACAACTGGTGAATCGAAAGCCAATATATAAACTGAACTTTGCCAGGAATATAACTTCAATTCTCTCACCTACGTCAAACATTGCTTTCCTGTTATTTTTGCGCTCGCTATTGACTGCATCGCTGATTTATGCCACGACGCGTGATTCATGGATTTAACGATGGCCTCATAAAATGGCGGGATGAAATTTACTTGAATAAATTGGTCGACCCGAAGGTTACCAAAGTTTGGCACTCCCAACTGTAGCCACAGAATGCACACTTGATCGTACCACTCTCATCTATATTAAACATTGCATATGGTTACTATTCGAGTTTTCATCGATTACATAGTTGGTGCCAGAAGATGCAAACTGAAACTGTGGGCAGTTACTTGTATAAGCTGATTCGAGAAGAGACTAATGATAAACAAATACATGTATTCGTATGTTATGAAATCGACACACGCTCAGGAGCAGCTTGATGTATGTTTACATCAATTCCGGTAGAGTCTGACCCCAACATTGTTTTCAGCACACAGTCACTGTTCGATGCTTCGCCGAATGTACCTTTCACGTTAATGGATACATTACGTAGAACGTAAGAATCCTGAGACCAGTTTCATAAGACTATGACGTATGGAAAAATGGAAGATTTAATCGAGTTTCATCACGCAGTGCAAATAATATAATCCAAATTAGATCATGCTTCTCTCGTTTTTAATCACAAAGAAAGGCAAGGAGCACGAGACGAGGATGTCGATAAATATTCTTAAAAGTCACTCGTTCTATCGTTTGAATCGTTAGCTGGACGGCAAAGTTTGAAAAGCTGAACACTTCAGAGAATAAATGCACGATGTGAATTGGATTGTAGCAACAACACCTCGGTACGTAACTCGCAAATTAATTACGCCGGCGCCGAAATGTCTCGAGAGGCATTATCGCGCGCAAACCTTACCCCGTTATCGATTTCGACAGAAGAATTAGTTTCGTGACTAATCGAATCATTTAAATGATAATTGAATTAGGGTGGCAAGAGATGCTCCACCGGTATTATTTAGCGGCGCGCACCGTATGCTTAGGGCGGCAAGATGCCAACTGACTTTGTGGAAGTTAAGACGTTCTCAACGTCTCTTCTCGAGCGGTGGATACCCAGAGAAATAGAGCATTTTAAGAGTAGGTGGAGATTTCAAGACAGGCTCCACCCTCGTTAAATGCTCATTGGCCTCGGAATGCCGGATGCCTCGCTCTGTTTTAAACGAACACTCTTCAATCTGTTCAAGAGCGTCGCTCGAAGGACGTCCCGACAACGACGGGACTATCACCCTTCGCAAAGGTGGTGACAAGAGTTACAAGAGAATTGCAACAGTGAGCATGGAAATCGTCACGCTTTCTTTGGGCCTCGGTTTTCTGCCAAGTAAACTCATGAATTGCCTATTGAAATTGCTTAATACCTGCGTTTATCTTCCAATGATTCAAAAACTGAATCACCTTCCCATAAAAGATACCCTTAAATTTTGCAACTCTATAGGACTAATTGCTTTCCAAGTGAATATAATGTAAGTGTACAAGGTAAGTGCACCGGTGGGTGCAAGGACCAAAATACAGATTCTAAGTTTACTTTTTAATGAGTAATTTTAAGGGAATTATATTTAATAAAAGCTCGTTATACTTATGTTTATAACTCGATTCGGACACCACCCAATTTTTCTACCGAAGATACTTATTTTATGCCGAAGAATGAACGTTACAGATATTTTCTCAACGCGGCGCCTAATTAACTACCTCGTAAATGTCGTGTCAAACCACACAGGGCCCTAAAGGGGTAATCCGAAGTTTATTCAATTATAAATGCGTGTACCTCGTACTACCGCATAAATCTAATTCTTTCGAACTAATACTTTCTTCTCAGGAGGTTAAAACTTGAGGAAAATAAATCTGAAACCAGATATCACTTTTTCAATTGGCCATGGAGGTTGACTTTGACCATAAGTCAAATCGAAGAATGACCATTCTTCCGACAGGGACTCATCTTTCTCCGTCGACCCTCTTTTTCTCCCTACATTTGGCGGTACAATTTATTTTTCATAAAACAAGCGTGTGACGAATGCTTGTGGGCGAGGGTAGAGTCCTTCCTGGATACCGTAAAACCCCCAAGAGGGCGGATAGGAAACGAAGGTTACAAGCGCCGGCGCCTTCCTAGTGGTTTCACTTTTGGTAATTTAGACTACGTGTAGGAGACTTTTCTCCTTCCTTTCTCCGCCCATTGCAAGATCATCCTCCCAAGCGGTCAGGCTCGCATTTCACAGCGATCTCAAATTTCTCCTGGGTTGCTACTCCGACCGCAATTCCGCCTGTTTTTCTTCCCTTGAGATCGATGATACATCTTCGCCTCTCGCGTACGCATGCATTTTATGCCGAATCCGCTCGGTGACGTTATACTAGGATTTCCAGGATTTATAAAAAAAGTAACAGAAATATCTACCATCCTTCCACAAGAATCCGAGGAACACAACCCGAAAAAGCAGCTCCCATATGGCTCTTAATCTCGCTATGAATGTTTAGCACTTGGATGGTCCTTACTTGTCATCAAGCTTTAATGTCACTAGGAATGTTCAAGATTTACAAAAGAAAAGGATGGGAAGGAATTGTCGGTCTTTTAAAAAATTTGCATAGCCTAGTCCGCAATCATTCTTGCAAGTTTTTCATCTCAAGAAAAAGACTAAATATTTAATAGATCCACTTTCCAAGCGGGTTTAAATGTCATGAGTTTGAGATTAATAAGAAGAAAAGATTAGGTGGCTGGAGAAAGAGGTATATACACCAGATTCGATCTAAAAACATTTCATCGTTCATGCGTTTAACTTCAACGCACCATTAAAAATGTTCAGTATATCTCTTTTGCTCCTTTAGTTCTACCATTCGATTGCCGCAAGAAAGTTTCTTAAATGGGTAAAAAAGCAAAAAAGAAGCCAAATAGGCCGATTTGTGCGCATTGCCGTTAAAAGCCGTGCGACAAAGTGCCAACAGCTGACCGTAATAACCGTGGACAGGCCTAAGCGTGGCGATCGTATAATTATTTCGTACCGATTTTATTTATACAACTTTTACGACTGCAGTTAGTTTGGCCGTCGTCGGGGCAATAAAACATCGGCGCTATCCCCGGACCGGTCGCGAGATGGACGCGGGCGTCGCGGCGCTCTGACGTGAACACGTCGTGACGCCCGAGGAGAATTATTAGGCGAGCCTGGCCCCCAGCCCCGGCCCGGTCTCTCCCAGCGCAGCTAAAGTCTCTTGGGAGGCCGAAATGTCCTGCGTCCTGTCTTTCGCCTCTTTTTTCATCCGCTTCTTCGTTTTCCCACCTCGAGGTGCCTCCTTCGGCAAAGAGCACGCGCGCTATGCTTATTGCCCGAGAAAATATTCGGGATTTGCACAAAAGCGTCTCTTCTCGAACGCCGTTTGTGAATCACTTCTATGTGCCGGACGTGAGCGTTTTCCGAAGATTCCAAATATTATTATTGATGTTCTTAAATTCTGCCGAGAGCATTCCGCAAAGAAGAGAATTCAAAATTTCCCCTTGACAATTTCTATAAGCACAAGTTTACGTAAGGACAAGGTTGCGGGGTTATTTGCGAATCAATAGGCCACTTTACCAGAAGCCACTCGAATCGTTAACAGGTACCATATTCCCCAGGAACTCCGTTCGATCGGAAATCTATTTTCAGGATGAGTGCCCCGGTTTCTGAAGATATCTTGGGGCATATTGTTTTTTCGAGTGCACTGTATTATTCCTGGCGAAAAGTTGCCGAGGGTTGGCTCCTTTGCTGTTTTCCGTGCTTTGCAAACATATCTTTTCGGATTTTGTTTACCGAAAGTGACACCGGCGCCGAAGCCGAAAGGGCGTTCCCCGCGGGCCAAGGAGCGGACTTCGGTAAAAAGTTGCCCGTTTCTCTCGGAGCCTTTTTATACTTCTATTTGAGCAGCGGAAAAGTACGCAAATATGGGGTGTACGAGCAGGAGTTGACGAGAATGGAATGCCGCGCTATTCCCTACAGGGGCCTCGATCACCCGTCGCCCTGTGTGTTCCTTCGCTTTTTACAATAGTTTTTATTCATCCATCGTCCGTCCGCAAAGGAGACCACACAGCGCAAAAGTGGGGTCTTCAGGGGCGTGGAAAAAAAGAAGTGAGGAATCGCCACATCAGGGAATGCCCAAGTTTACCCCACGAGTGGAGGATCTTTTTCTTTCTCTTTCTTCTGGAATTGCAAGTTCGATCTCGTGTCTTTGTAAACGTGAAAAGTTCCTCGATCACGTAACTGCGGCGGATCCACGGCATTGCGACTACCCGCAATGCAACACCAATGATTTATACAGGGGTCCCCTCGCTCCTTGCCGATCGAAGATCGCACGTCATTGGGTACACGCCCTGCATATTACGCACACGCTCGCGGAAAATGCCCCAACTAAGGAGGGTGGTCCAACCTCTTCCATGGGAAATCGTTCTTTGATTTGACAGTAATGCGTACTTTTTTATTACTAAAAGTTTTGGCCTTAGAACGTAGATAGCGCCCTGTTTTTCTCCGTAGATTTGCGCGATAGTAAACATTATCTCGTTGATAATTATTTTCCAAACTTTTGGAGAATCGTCATGAAGGCACAGATGCGGTAGCATATTTTCCGACGTGCTTTTTGCGTGGACAAATCTGACTTCCTCGTCACGGAGATTTGGGAAAATCCCCCTCCATAGCTTCCTGACGTTTCTACTTTTACTGGGTGGTTTATGTGTTACGGGTAATCGTTCATTGTGGCGACGCGAAAGGAAGGGTGATTGTGCGGAATATGAGGGACTGGCTGTATCCAGGACTGGAACAGATAGAAAAATACATTCCGAACGTCTTTTTTCTCTCGCAATATGACGTGTCGCACATTTAAATAGTGCTTCGAGTCACGTATTAATTTTGCATCTTAAGATTCTGTTAAATTTCATGACGGATTATAAACATTAATAGTGTGTTTCCAGAGACCGATGGGTCTACTTGAAAAAAATTATGATTAACTCTTTCACTGCAACGATGTCTAATGTAGAGTGCACGCGACATACAGTAACCTGTCAACCATGACCGATGTCCAAAAGTGGTAAAAACGCTGAATTGCAATAATGATAGAAACGGCTAAAGACGTCAATCGCACATCCTGAACACAATTTCAAGTTGCCAATAACAGAGAGGAGGTTAAACTGAAACGGAAAAATTATTTTTCCGGTATTTCCACGATGCTCGTTGATTCTGGTGTATCTTTGGTTATCATCCGTACTATTTCTACTCCCGGACTCATATTCAAGCAATTATGTAACTATGGTAATGATTGCTCACAGTGCTACTTTTGAAACCATAGCTATTGCCAGAAACTCCCTGCTCCTGGAATCGGCCCAACCAGCGAAATTCCAGAACGAAAAAGATAGACCCCTCCTAACAACTGTGACCCCCGGAATAATTTAACATCTGTTCTCTACCACTGCTGCAATTACCCAACCTCATTTTCTTTACAGCTTTTCCACTTGATTTTGTACAAAACGCAACCCCTTTGAAAAACTTATTTCACATAATTATCACATAGTCTCTACCCGTTCCTCGTCCCAGCGGTCCTTAATCCACGAATTATTTAACATAAATTAGTAAGTTTTACCTTCAAGGAAAACAAGAACTTTGCTTCTAGGTCTTCACTTGGCGCATACACGCGTTAGACTACGTTCATCCGTGAAAAATTCCCATGCTTTCCGAT